ATTAATTCCGCCTCAGCCTCGCGCGCGCGGCCTTCCTCGAAGAGCCATAATTAACCACTTAAGCGATTACAACGGATCCCGACGTAACGTTTTACACGTTTTCTGACGGCGGAGTGCAACGAATCCTTTCCCCTCCTTCCCTCCGCGCGGTATTTACCTACGTAGAGGAGGTGAGAGTGATACACGGACGACGTGAACGACGGAATACGGTCAATGGAAACTACTGGCTTTACAGGATGATGTGTAATCCTGTTTGTTCGTTCTTCGCGGTTCCATTCGTGCACCTAATGAGCTTGTATTTATGAGGAAAAAATCACAAAATCGAGATTGCGCTCACGGGCGTACGCCCAGTGTTTGTAAACCTTCGCAAAGATTCATAAACACGAATAAGAATAAAATTGCGGGCAAAATCCTGCCGCGAATTATAAGTCGCCTGTAAAAGAAGCTTCACCTGTGACTATGTCGGAAAATTCGAAGCGTCGCAAAAGTATAAGATATTCTTGATTGATACTCTAAATCATATTTCAAATTAAAATTTACATTTTAACTAAAATTGACCAGTTTAATTGTTAAGTATCAGGTTCTAATAGAAATTTAACGATAGCGATATTAGGTAAGTTTGTAATTTTTTACTCGAAATCTTGTGGAAACTTAATATGTATAGATCAGAAGAGAGCAAAAGCTTTTCAATAACGTCTTTTACATTTCTGTTGCGTAAACACATTTCCTTGCACAAGATTTGAAATTATTTCGAGTATTTCAAAAAAAGAATTGATCGAGCATATTACTGATTTTCTTTTAAGACCCGCAAATTTTCGCAGTTTCTTTAAAATGTAAAGTAAACGACACGGGAAAAGAGCTTCAAATACATCTGTGAAGGATTCTTGGAAAGAATGCCAGGTGGTATAGTAAAATCCTGTTGGGAAGTTGCGAAACCCTTTAACTTTTTAATGACAACTCCATATTGTTAAAATAACAGATTTTCTGCAAAAGCGAAGAAAGTATCAGAAAATAATGTGTCACGTGAAGATTTGTCGCGTTCTCAGTTGAAGCGTTGTGAAGAAATACTGCAGACTGATGTTAATGTTGGTTGCTTAGCAACCAATATATTAAGTAAAAGTATGTCAGAGAATATATCACGTAAAAATAAACGTAAAATCCAACATACACATTGAAAATTGGCTGTCTGACTCTGCTCAGGATCTTGCACTGTGCTTTCTTAAAATGAATCAGTGAAACATCACTGAAAACAGTGAATATACACTGATTTGCAGTTGTAAGTGTTGCACTGAAAGTGCTCAGTGCTATAAATGATTATGACTATTTATAACTGATATCAGTGACTATTCACTGATTCACTTTAAGAGAGTACGTCGTGCGTCGAAGGGAGTACGTGCTTACGCGAGATCGTTGTTCCATTGCGTAAAAGCCGTCAAACGTGCGTTTCTTTTTGCGAGATGAAGCTTCGGACACGTTCGTGTAATGACATACGCCGAGCTTATGCCGTAATCGCGCCTGCAACATCTCAGACACGGGACAAGATATCCGGGGATGTCGTGGTGGTGCGTGGCCACGTTCGCTCATTAAAATGTTTTGGCAACAGCGTGACAGCGTGAACGGTAGCGCGACATCGATTTGTCAGTGACAAAGTCCGGCAGGGAAGAGGAAGAGCCGACCAGGGAGAACGCGTCACGCACCTCATTGTATACGTTACTGACACGTCGGGGCGATTTGTTCCGAACGAGCCTGTCGACGTCGCCAGCCACGTACACCGCCGTCCGATATTAAAAACTTTTGGACGGCGCTCCGGAGCAACGGGAAATGTCTGTTAAATTAGAAAGTCGTCTTCCTCTCGCGCCGCAACATTTTTTAGCGGCGTTGACGCGGAACTTGAGACACGGCATGAGACGGTAACGTTCTTTGTTGTCAATCGGCGCGTTGCTGCGTGAGTGTGTGTATGTGAGAGTGAGAGAGAGAGAGATACACGAGCCGCTCTATAATATTTACGTTAGTAGTCGGGACTTTCCGCGCGGCATTTGATGACATTGACGCATTCCGTGAATATTGCTCGTCTCCATAAGATAAAAGTACCAAAATATTTGGACATTAATAACACTAGGGCCATATTTTTGACACGCATTCGGACGTTAACTACCTTTTTATTCCAGGTTTCGTTTTCCTCGTACTAGTGTATAAAGTTATTTTATCTTGAGTCAGAAAGAATTTAGCGTTCGAATATGCGTCAAGAATATATATATATATATATATATATATATATATATATATATATATATATGTATGTATGTATGTATGTATGTATATACGACCTCTGATACCTGACTCTGGAGATAATTGTTTTGGTCTTCAAATAATTAAACTTAATATAAAGGATATATATACTCAATATGTTAAATATACATATATATTCTGCGTTTAAAGTTTAAATACTCGTATTTATATGACATTTAAAAACCAAAATAATAAGAAGTAGATAAAAAGTTAGATTTTATAAATGTCCAAGCATTGGTACTCTTACCTTAATCTTCCACGTACAATATTAGATCTGTGAGACCCGAAATATTTGATCGTTCATCAAATTTCGCAAAGAATCCGTTTTAAAATAACGCAAATTTGTAGATTTTGATTTCATTACTTTGTTACTATCTTACAACTGAGACTTTTCTGTATTTCTAGAAAAAAAATGTATCCAGAAATAATGATTTCTGTCTAAAGGTCTAAAAGTAGCTTGTAAGTCTTTTGATTGATTATGAGACGTGTTTAGTGATGGAAGAGAGTTGAGAATAGGCTTATTTCATGGTAGTTCAAAGTTTCCCGGTCTGACAAACTCAGATTATAGTCTGTCCCAAAAAATATAATTTTACACGAAAAAAATGTTTACTTGGATCAACTAATTTCTGATAAAGTATGAACCAGAAAATTCCGATTGATCTTAGCAGAATTCTGTTCAAGTTAGTCAGAAATCTTGTTAACTTCCAGAATTTCTGATTCGTTCACATTTCACCAGAAAAAATTTAGTTTGCCTAAAAAATTAAAATTCAATGCTTTCCTAATGTAAAATTAATAACATAAGTAGTAGGACCACTTGAAGCACAAATATACTAATGCTATAATAAGTTATTAATACAAAATATATCATTTATTTTTAATAAGATTTAAACGATCCTATTCAGAGGCTCCTAGATCCGAATAGAACCGAAATGTCTAAATCTTGTTAAAAATAAGTGGTATATATTTTTATTCTGTAATGTTTTATGGCCCCACCACCTTAGTGTTATTAGTTAATCCAACTTTTTATTTCTGTATACGCGAAGAATCAAACGATATATTCCGATCGAAGATTATTTTGACTTTGCAAAATATCGTTATTGAATTATGATGTAGTCACGATATCCAAACGGAGATATGTGTGTGAATAATTAGCGTCTATTGAAGTTATCGCCGGTGATAATAGCGCATATCTGTGATCGACAGTGACGAGGAGATTAGAAATCTTCAAGTTCATTTCTCGTACACGCGACGCGAAGAAGTTCGCGCGCACGATGAATCGGCTGGCTTCCAATCCACCACGCCTTATTTCTGTAATCGTCGTTCGCGCAATAATCCGCCGCGTTTCGGCGCATTACAAGAGCGAGAGAGTACACGCAGACTCGAGACGGCTTACAAAGTAGCTCTTATTGACGCCGCGCCAATAAGACCAACGCGACACACATCTCTCTCTCTCTCTCTCTCTCTCTCTCTCTCTCTCTCTCTCTCTCTCTGCCCGCGATCAGGATTGTCTAAGTGTCGCTGTCGACGCCTCCGGCGTTCGCGATTATTGCGGCGGTGAGTGTGGCAAAAAGGTCGTCTACGACGACGATGGAGAGGAAGACGAAGAAGAAGCTTTCGAACGCGCGACGACGTGCAACGTAATGCGACGTAATGGCGTAAAGGAAATTAATAGGAGCGCCGTGTGGCTAACGGACTGCCATACGCCGGGAATCCGAGTCACATATTTTCCCCACTCGACACAGAGCTCACACAGACGCGATTATTATCGGACCGTGAAAGCGGCTATGAGAGCGGGCACTTATCGTGCCGCGATCGATTTCAAATGACGTTAATCTAAGCGAGGCAGCGCGCGCGTAACCGGCAAGATACCAGCGCAACGGTTATGACACGCTAAAGCGAGCTATAGCCTAAGCGGACCATTGAGAACGTCGTCTGCTGAGGAGGTTCATTATTTAATTCCTTCGGTACTCGGCGATCAATCGCGGAAACTATGGGCGTTCTTTCTCTCACTCTCTTTCTTTCTCTTTTTCTCGCGCGCGCATCAATGTCCTATTCAGATCGAATTATTTCCGATACGCGGTGCACGTTGGCGCTACTTTTACGTCCGTTACCGATATCTAGATCAGAGAGCTGTTCTGCACGTCTATCTTATATAGACTATCGCACCGACCTACCGGACACTGACAGAAGAAAGCCAATGGGAGCATCGAGCGCGATTTGAGCGCGCAAGTCGACGGAGGAAGAGAATTTCGTGCTTTCGACTCGAGAGAGTTGTTCTTAAGCGCGACACCGTACGAGCAAAGTCAAAGTAGCCAGCTGTTTACTGCAGTCGAATGATGTATCGATCTCCGTTGACTCGGTTGGATTACGGGGGAAACTACGGAATAATTAAACTCACGCGATCGCGAGTTGACTCGATTTCCGTGTACGTACGCCGAGCGCGCGTTTGGACGTCGAGAGAAAGGGAGAGCCGATTGAGCGGCGGTCCACCACCGTCTATTGTCGCGTGTTTTCCATGTCGAGAGCATCGTCTCGCGCGAGACACTTGGCGTCACCGGCCGGCGACGCACAAAGCGAGCGCGACAATGGCGAAGATAACGTCTCGGATAACGTCCACTACGAGAAGCGTTCCGAGATACGACGCTTAGCAACTCTTCAAGAGTCACAAGAATTAGAATCATGGAGAATCTCGTAAGAATGTAAAGACTCACCGAAGACGGGACTGAGGTCGGACCTCGCAGATGCCTTCCCAGTTGTCGCGTAGCTTCCACCGGCGAGCGAGCCCTTTTCCTGCAACACACGAGATTGGCACGCACTTAATCCACGGTTGAGTCCATACGGCGGCAAGGGTCGCGGCTAGGGAAGAGGCCGAGTATAGTGCGCGAGAATATGGCGGAAAAAAGGCACGTTCTCAAGCACGCAAAACAAACGTGAAGGGTAAGGTGAGGTCGGGGTGAAAGTTGGTCGTGCAAGAAGGAAATTCGACGCACCTCGGACTCTGTGAGATCGATGAGATCGCTCTTGTCCTCCGTAAGGTTCTCCGAGGACCTCTTCTCCTCCTCGCCCTCATCTTTGAAGACCTTGACCTCGTCTTCGCTGCCGAGATCGTCGCCGCCGCCGCTGCTGCTCACGTGCGGCATTATTGCGGGCCGAGTGACGGCCACCGTTGTCTTTCCTGGCCTCTCTCGTAGTTCTTCACGCCACGCGGCACGGCGAGGGGCCCCGTAGATACCTCTCACGCGACGCGACAAGTCCCCGGGATCCGCGAACGACGATCCGCGAGAAGACGCGAGACCGGCACGAGACGGTTACGGCGGCGGAAGGCTACTGAAGTTGGCCGCTTGAGTTATTTACTTGAGTTTACACGTCGCCGTCAAAGTGTGGCGCTGTAGTTTCGAACTCGCGCGGCGCGTTCCTCTCCCTCTTTCTCTCTCTCTCTCTCTTACCGACGCGCGCGCCGTTTCTGCCGACGGCACTGTTTCTCCGACACTTTTTCCCCGAATATCGCGAGTTATCACTGTTCACACTCTCGATGTCAGTCACACTACTGTGAGCGCGCACCAACCGCAGCTGGAACGACCGGAATGCCGCGTGCACGGACGTATAATAAGAGGCAACTCAGCACCAGACACGAGGAGAACCGTTCACTGTCACCGTCGCCACACCGACGCCGCCGGTCTCGTCGCCGACGGATGGACAAGGTTAGGCCGCACACTCGACGCGAACGGACGCGGTGCCGGTGACTGCTCTTTCACCGTATTCGCGCGCGCCGTGGTAACGAACGTGCTGCACCGCTCTGCGAAAGAAACACTTCAAGAAACAATTAACGTCTCAGCGGCCGGCTCGCCTCCCAAAATCGGACCGCGCGACACGCCGCGAGCGGTCGCGCCTTTCGCGCGCGCGAGTTTAATTTCCGGCCGTCGTTGTTGTCGTCGTCGTCTGAGTGAAAGATACGCGTGGGAAGGTCGTCACTGCGCGGAAAGCGGGAGGAGATCGCGAAGCGGCGTAGAACGTAGAGAGGAGCGAGAGTGTAAGAGAGGAAACGGAGGCGGTTGACAGAGAAGTAGGTGGTACATAGAAGGCCGGCCGTGACGTATTTAATGCGCAGAGTTTACCCGCGGAGCGAGGCACGCGCTGTCCTTCCTCGCTGCTCCTATTCACTCCCGACCGACCGACCGACCGACCGACCGACCGACCGACCGACTGACTGACTGACTGACTGACTATCCTTCTCGGTTGTGTGTAGACTTCTCAGTACGCGCACCACGAGTGCAGTTTGCGCGCCGCGTATCCGCACGGAGACGGTGGCAACGATGCTTCAGCGAGCGCGCGATGCTGCGATTCCGTGAACGGGCCCGTGCGATGGACACGACGCGCGACAACGAATGCGGCACCACGACGACGACTGCGATGACACTGTTGTTGTTGTTGTTGTAGTCGACGGTGCACGCGCCGGACGGCCATCGTGCCCGTGCGTACGTCAAAGCAATGTCCGCAGTTGCGTGTTATTCCCGTGTATATTGCGCACCGACTCCGAATGCCTCGACACACTCTGCTTGGATGCTCGGTGCCGACTGCCGGCGACGGTGAGCTCGGGCGGGCGGCTCTCCCACGCGGCGACCAATCACGACGCCGGATTCACCGCGGCAGCTTCACTCGCCGACGCGCCACCTCGCTCCCCCGCAACGCGGCGCTCGGCCAGTCATGGCAGGCAAGGCGGCGAACCGATCCCACCCGAGAGAACGCGAACTCGCCCGAACGTTCGGCGCCGTCTCTTCCACCACCGCTACCGACTCGAGCCTCGTCGCCGCCGTCGTCGTCGTTGCCGTCGTCGATGAGAATCGCGAACACGACGCCTAGAGAGGCGTAGATGCGTCTGTCTCTTGACGAATTGAGCGGACCTTATCGCGCTTGGTGCAACCAAGGTAGGACAAATTCAAACGGCTTTTTTACTTATTCCCCGAGCTTTACGGCTCGCGGGACAAGCGCGAGTGAGCGTCTCGTCGACGTACCGAACGACCAAGCTCGTAAACGTCGCCGGTTAGCGCATTTATTTGCGAGGCGTGTTAAGACGACTCGTTGGAAGCGTGTCTTGTTTCCTCCCTTTTTTTCGCTTTCCTCAGTCCGCTGCGCGCCGAATACTGGTTCTCGCGTTTTGCAATAGCCCCGGCTCGAAATTTATCGGACATATATTCATCGAACGCGAAATATAAAGATGGAACGGCGTCGTGATGAATTTATTCTTGGGCGCGAGCACGCTTGTGCGAGCGTGTGCTCCTAGAGGCAACGTGTGCGAAGTCATTAGGGGCAGGTGCGCACGTGATTTCTTTATAGCCGCGGAAGAACGCAATAACTTATGTTAATTTATGCGTCCGCTACCGTACGTCGCAACCAATTTCAGAGTTTAATTAATATGCCGTTGAGAGAGGAATATCTAACCGAACTTAACCTAACTTTACCGAGCCCATATAATGACCTTGTGTTATCATCTCACTCGGTGTCCAATTCCACCTCTTCTCCGGCTGCGGGAAAGCGGGAAAGAACGTCGTCTAGCCCCTGTGACGATTATTTCCCCTTATCTCCGATACATTTTTCCCCCTTTTCTTTTACGTATAACGGCGAGGTTGTCGTGTCGCGAAATCGACGCATTCACGTGCAGATCGCGCGGCCGCGTCGCCTCGGATTCCCGAAAATTATGTACGAACCGAGAGGGAAAATCTGGAAAAGCCGTGTTCCCTCGGGCAATGCAAAATCGAGAAAACAGCGGCCGCATATTTCTGATGCGCTCTCGAAATTACGACGATCGCCGCCGTCGCGCCGTTGAAATATATACAGAACCGGGACGTACGAATTTAATACGTCATGAAAGCATCTAAATTCGCATCGTCGGCGCGACTCACCTTCTCTCTCGCACAAGCTCTCTCTCTCTCTCCCCCTCCCCCTCCCCCCTCTCTCTCTCTCTCTCTCTCTC